ATAACCTCGTTTGGTCAAAAATCCGCGAAATTCCTGTAACCGTTTAGTGACAGCCTCCTCAGAGGAGCAAATCCGCTTTACTCTAAGAGCTTCACTGTACGGGATACTTTTTGTACAGTGTTTGGGTGACAGCTTTGGGGAGAAAGGTACTGATGTTTATCTGTAGGTTTACAGTAGAGGTCTGTTGATATGACACCGTCCTTTATAGGTGTAGTTGTGTCTAAGAAAGATATTTTAGAGTCGGAAATTTCATATATTTAATTGACTGGTGGGCGTTGTTTGCATGTCTGATAAAATCATAAAATTTTTTTTGGGATTCAATCCATTTCATGTCAACATCATCGATGAAACGGAACCAAGATAGAGGTTTGGATAAAGATGTTGAAATGATTTGTTTCTCTAATTTGCCCATGAAAATATTGGCGTAAGACGGTGCCATTTTCGTCCCCATCGCTGTCCCGTTTATCTGAAGGTAATGTTCATCATTAAAGGTGAAATTGTTGCATTTCAGAACCAGAGTAAGCAGCTGGACTAAACATTCGGTAGGTGGTTATAAAGTGTTGCGCGAGTCCCATATTTCCTTACACGATTGTATTCCGTCATCATGAGGTATGTTGGTATACAATGAGGTGACATCTAAAGTGATAAGGAGAGTTTCCGGAGGAAGAGGGTTCATGGATTCCATTTTACGAAGGTAATCTATAGTGTCTTGAATGTGAGGAGGAAGATTTTCTACATGAGATCTTAAATGAAAGTCTACGAATTCCGAGATTTTCTCGGTCGGGTGGCCGTTTGCGGATACAATGGGTCTACCAGGGTTGTTAACCTTGTGTATTTTGAGAAGAAGATACAATCGACCAGGCTTGGCGTTTTCTGGTTTTAAATATCCGATTGTATCCTCATCTATGTGACCGTCATTGTTCATGGTTTGTAACGCAGTAATAATTTTGGAACTAAACTCGGAAGTAGGGTCATAGTCAAGCTTCTTATGAAATCTCTCATCAGAGAGCTGACGCTCTGCTTCCGCGATGTAGTTAGCTTTGTCCATTATCACAACGGCACTTCCCTTGTCTGCTGGTTTTATCACAATATCATCTCGGTTTCTCAGCGATTGTATGGCTTTTTTCTCGTCAGAAGAGGTGTTATAAAACGACGAGTACTTGTTGCTAGCTAGATGAACAACATCCGATTTGATTTTGTCAATAACATCTTCCAGTGTAGCAGCTTTGCTTGGTTTTGGAATCCATGAACTCTTCATTTTTTTCATATATATATGCAATTATGCAATGTCTTATAGTCAGATAACGATATTCAATTTTACGGCAAATTCAAAGCATTATACATAATGTAATTGATACATGCATTATAAGTTACTTTTATGAGCTGTAGCAGTATTAAATCACTTGTGAAAAAGAAGGCTACAATTGAGAAAAAGGAACAAAACAAGAAATGTCAAATGACATCAATAAGACAAGAGATCATAATGCATAATCATATAATACTAGTAAAATTTGACAATTCTTTGAATTATAACTTGATTCTTCATTTACTACGTTTTTATCTTTTTTCTCTTATGTAGGGTTGTTATTTTCCATGCAATCCTGTAAAAAACGTTAGCATTGACATATAAACATGAATAAAAGGAGATGTGATTAATACGTCAACGATATGGCAATATAATAACTAGAGACCAGTGAGCTTTCCCCATTATTCTATTAAGTTTTTTGGAAAAACAATCTACGCATAGTGGCACCACTGTTCTGTTTTGTTAGTTTGAATCTGTTTTTTTGAGATTGTTTCTTTTTTTTCTTTTTTCTTTTTTGCGAAAATCAGCTAATTTCTACTCTCCTAATGTATCATAATGCCTCATGTACGATGACTGAAATGATTTTCGTCGTTAAGGATAACTATTTGTTTCCTTCAGGCTGTCATAATGTGTTATTCTATCTCACAATATGCTCAGTGTTTATCTCTCTTAACCAATGTACAGTTTAAATGCATCTTGAACCGAAGTACAGTTTGTTAATATTTTCACAGATATACGGTTGACAATGTTTTTTTCGTGGTAACAATCTGCGCTATCAACCTCTCAGGTATGTGCTATTTATATAATGTTCAATAGGCATTACAGGGTGATAAAAGTGTTTCAGTATTTTTGTTTATATATTCATAAGAGGATAATCATGAAAAGTAAAATAACAAAAATACCGAACTCCAAGGGAAATTCAAAACGGAAAGTCCTTTATCAAACGGCAAAAACAAAAGCTCAAACACATCAAACGAATGGAAAACAGCTGTCATATTCCTGATGACTTGGTACAGGCATTTCCTTAAGTAGAAAATTGTGGATTAAGCCTGGTTTTATAACTAGCTAAACCTCTCACTTGTATGACAGTCATATAGAATGCCATTATATGTGTGAACAAAACAAACAGACATAATAGGTAAAAATGTCAAAAAATGGGGTACAGCAGTCAACATTGTGTTATAATCTTAATCACTATAAAACAAATAACTATTTCAACAAAGAAAAACAAAATGGCATATAGACAGTCTATAGATAAAGTACATACGCAAACATGAAAGGCAAGAATACAAAAATGACCATAGCACAATAACAGAATGGCGGGATGTATAAATACCTAGCCACGCAAAAAGTATATTACCTAAAATGGATTGAACAGTAAAGATTAAAGATATACAAAGACAAATAAAAAGAACACTTTTACTCGTAATTAAGGTGATAATCAACGTCAGTACCTAGAATCTATACTTCAAGACCATGCTTCTAGGGTAGGATGATTTTTTGCCTGATTATCTATTGTCACGTGTTGTGTCACATAATAATTTATTTTCTAAGGCAATGCGCCATGCATATTTATCTTATCTTTGGAAAGATTATATTCATTTTAGCCCCCAAAAAGAGCAAAATATTTATTAACAAAATCCTTTTAACGTTCATGTTTCAAGCCTGTACACGATCTTTACATGAAATTTTAAGTGTTAATATTGAAAGCATGCATAGAAGCTATGAAATTATATGTGGGTTAAAATCCTAATTTTCATGTCTTAGGTCGTTAAATCAGTAAAGCAGGTATTCTAATCCATATTAAATCAAATATGTGAAAACAAAAAGAAATATTAAAAATTCTTTATAAAAAAAAATGCAGAACATTAATAATTATCACGAAAGTCTCTCCATCCCCCCCAACCCCCCCCCAACCCCCCCAACCCCCCACAAAAATCAAAAAATCATAAGATCGTCGCCTTACATTAAACATTGTGCAAATATACGTTTCTTTTCGTATTATGAGCTCAGTTTAAAGAGAAATGAAGTCAAATTCGGGGTTGGGTCACTCTGATAATCGTCTTGAACTGCGTCGGCACTTATTACTCGGTTATTCTTAACTTATCGTACAAGATGTGCCACACCCAAAAACTGTAAAATGCATTAATATTGTGCAATAAGATTCAAGTTGAAAATTAGTAAACAGAAAATCTTATCTTTTGTTTGTTTGGTTTATGGTCCGTTACCGAACTGAAGAAATTAACAAGTGTCGAAACATGACCTGCTGTGGTAATTTAAAGACAGTATTTTATTATCTGCTAGAGAATACAAAAATAACTCGAGGACATTATCATTTCTTAGATTATTTTTGCAAATCTCAATAACAGGTGTGCAAAATATGTTCACGGATAATGTACATAATGCATATGAACATAATTCATTCTAGACATGAAGTGCATAAATACATGTACAAATGTTTCATAATTGTCATTCATTTCTTTTATGTTGCTGTGATATTGGTGATATTTTCTGGCCTGGAGTTTTGTATACTAACAATACTGCCATTTTGACAATATATCAAAAGATTTAAGATCAATGTGGCCATGAGCCTGTCCCAAGTCCGGAGCCTGTAATTCAGTGGTTATTTTTTCTTGCTGTACATCATATTTTTTTCTTATTTTTTTGTTTTGTTTATTGCTTTGTATATATATCAAGTCGTTAGTTTTCTCGATTGAATTTTTTTACATTTCTTATTTCGGGGCCTGTTATAGTTTGCTACACGATATTGGCTTTGCTCATTATTGAAGTCGGTACGTTGACTATTCTTGTTGCTAAGTACTACATCAATTTATCTCTGTTGGAGAAAGAAAAAAGTGTCACATATTCCTGACTTGGTACTGGCATTTTCCAGGGAAAAAAAGTGGATTAAACCTGGTTTTATAGCCGGTTTTATAGAGTTGTCTCATTCGCGATCATACGACATCTTCTTATTTTTATATAACTGACTCTTTGGACAATATGTCCAATGAGGACATAACTAATTCATTGAACGATATCAAATGTGGACATTACTGCTTTATTAGACAATCATCAAGTCAAATGTGCTTTAGCCTGGGATCCAAAACAAACAGACATAATAAGGTTAAGAAGAGTAAAACAAAGAACTTACAGTAGATTATGCATTGCACGTGACATCTGTAAAATGATAAGAATTTCAGCCATAAAGAGAGGTTGGCAAATACCAATGGAGTTTATATATATAAACAAGACATTGTTTCTTTGTAAAGATGAAAAATCATATTTTCTTGACTACCTGAAATAGATTCATAATAAGTATGACAATTTTATCTAAAAAAAAACAACCAACGGCGTCTTACAGACATTATGTTGCACCTCAGGTTTTTTATTGTATTTAAATGTATTTTGAAAAAAAGTAGTTTTAATATAATTTGCATATCATGTTAATGTTAATAAACGATATGTCTTGTAAAATTATAACTTGACATGTATGTTACATTTTAAGAATAAATTATATAAAACCTTAACAAGTAATAACAAGGTTTGATTGGTGTTTAAGAAGGCTTTCTATTAGTAAAGTCTAGCCAATGTCAACGTCCAATTAAAATTCACTGTTGATCTTTCACTAAGATATAACCAGTTGTGCACATTTATACAAATAATTATTGAATGCCAAGTTTCTCCTGGTAACCACTTTATGTCTCTACTTTACACTAGTATTTATAATTTATACTTTGTATGTTAGTTTATTTGTATATGTCTCTATACCATTGTAATTTGGTTGATGAGAATACTGATATACATTATGATGACACAGACATACTTTGTTGTAGTTAAGCATGAAGTTTGATGATATTTTAAAACATATCGGTGAGTTTGGATACTACCAGAAACGTCTCTACTTGTTGCTATGTTTGCCAGCTATCAGTACGGGATGCTATATGATGATGTTGGTCTTTGTTATGCATGCTCCTGATCACAGGTACGAATTTAAGATAAAACATTCTGGATTATGATTATAATTTTGATTTGATGGGGAGGAGAATGGATTGATTGGTGTTCAATGTTCATCGACAAATATTACATTATTATATCAGGATGGGATAAACTAAATGTCATATGAAACTTGAGTTGTATTAAATCAACACGCAGTGTCGGATTTTAAACGTGCTAGGCAACGAGGTAACAATCCGCATATAGATAGACCCGGACACATAAATCTGACTCCGAGATAATCAGTTTTTTCTCTAATTCTAAATGTGCGGGCTAAGCAAGAAAGAAGCAAATATGAAGCTATTAACGATCTGCAATCAACACCAATTAACACTAATGACCGAAACATTACGATATACATAAACCAACAACTTAAATAAGATGTGGAGCAGACACATGCACAAGTGGCGAACTAAAGCTAGTTTTGAGATTTCAACCTTACCCATCAAATTGATTTTGATTCCAAAAACGACCAGACGCGATGGGTGAAAAAAAAAACAATTTTAATTTTAAGCTTTATCAACAAGTCTGTTCAGTCAAAAAGAAATATAGATAAACTTGTTAGTTTATAAATAATATTACCGTAAAAAGATGGGTGTGAAATACCACTTTATATTAAATTCCTGCTGGACGAGTCATACTTTGATAATGAGTGGCTATCTTCGTGATACTAGTTATATATATGCCTTTCATGTGTGTCACCGACAAATGGTATGTATTGCTTTTAAAGCTTATATTGGGTTTTGATTTTGCATACAACAAGATAAGAATTTGAAAAAAATTGTACTGTTCTTTAGCCTTGAAAAATGTAGAACAAACACTTTCCAAATGAATAATCATCATTTTCTGTAATGTTTTCTTGTAATGGAAAATATCATATTTTCTGAGTCTCATTTTAAAATTTGTTTCAATATATACATATATAATGCAAGGCGATTTGGTGTCACGATATCTCAGTAGCATGAGTTCGAATCCCGGCCAGGGAAGAACAAAAATTTGCTTCCGCAAATTTACAGATCTAACATATTGTTGGGCTGTTATTTAGACGAATGATATATATATGCTGTATTTAGACCCCTCTACCAAGAAATTTGTTTTGCATGCACACGTATAAAAATTGCGGTTTTTATCCAACGCAATCATAGGTTTTAACGTTGTTTTCAATTTAGACTTGTTTATATTTTTTCGTTTGGGCTTGTATTATATTTGCCTTCGGGTTTATATGATCCGTTCATCCTATTTTGACGCTTTCAAAATTCAAGAGTCTATCCTAAATTGAGGTAAATTATATGGCCTTCCAAGTACCGTTTCGATTCCTAACATCATTGAAGAGACATTAATTGTCGAAATCCGGATATGGTGTACAAATTTTTGCACCTCATGTTTGCGGTATACCATCTTTTCCGCAAGTTTATTGTTTTCTGTTTGGTAATAATTTAATAATAAGATCTGTTTTGTTACATCTTGTGATCCGTTTATTTGGCAATCGCCAATGGCAGTCAGCAGGGTTTAAGAACATCCGTTTTTTCTAGACCTGCTAGTCAAATGCGTTTTGTTAAAATATACTTTTTCACTCATTTGGTATTTTGGAAAATGTTGTTTGTGCTGTATTTAGACCCCTCTACCAAGAAATTTGTTTTGCATGCACACGTATAAAAATTGCGGTTTTTATCCAACGCAATCATAGGTTTGAACGTTGTTTTCAATTTAGACTTGTTTATATATAACAACATCTTCGTATAATACCATCTTATATTAGTATCGTTGTGCAAATCTCTAGACTTATATAAAAAAAATTTTCCTTATCTGCACAGTATCGTCTATTCTAGACGATCCGGTACATAGTAAATTTGCTGGTTGGTCCTTTTTATAGACTTCTATATATATATATATATATATATATATATATATATATATATATATAGATTGCCTAACAATGTAATTTTAACACACTATTTAGTATGTAAATATAAGAATGTTTAAAATATTTACAAAATGATGAAAATAAACGCAATATTTCGCTAGACTAACTAGCTTTATCAAGCGTGCATCTATCCAGGTGAAATCGGATGTAGATGATAAGAAACTTTTGCAGCTCAATGTATATGTTGCACTTGAATTTAGCTGCCTTGAAAATAATACATAATTTGGATGAAGTTCAAGATTTTTACAAAATTGGTAGTTGAAGTTAGCAACGTCCATTGGCCAATATTACAGGGTAAAAAGGACGATGCTGTGTACTAAATTATTCTTTATCTTTCCTGTATCTTTTCTCATCTTTTCGGCTCCACTCCAGTGAATGTTCTGTTCAATCACTAGGATCTTCATGCGGTTAAAGTCATCAAGTGTGTGACCAGACTGTCTGAAATGCTGAGAAACTGGGAGAAGTGGCTTCTTAGAGATATCACTCCTATGGCCATTGAGGCGTTTGTGGAAAGGCTGCTTTGACAGAACAGAACATTCACTGGAGTGATGCCCAGCGACAGGTTCGGGAAAGCTTTTGGATAAAGGAACTAAATGTACATCATCCAAACGGCATCAATAAAAAATACTAAGTTTTATTTTTCACTCATTTTGGGTTGTAAAAATACACAGTCACGTATATTTGAGTATTGAGTTTTGTTTTATATTATGATGTTCAGGATTTTGGATTAAATCAATAGACCAAAACTTACCTGTATTATTGAGCTATTTTTATACATATTATCAGTATTGTTAAAATAATTGACACCGAAGAAGGCTATTTGTTAAGCCGAAATATTTGTCAACACGATTTATTAACAACATCTTCGTATAATACCATCTTATATTAGTATCGTTGTGCAAATCTCTAGACTTATATAATTTTTTTCCTTATCTGCACAGTATCGTCTATTCTAGACGATCCGGTACATAGTAAATTTGCTGGTTGGTCCTTTTTATAGACTTCTATATATATATATATATATATATAACTATTGTATCTGTTACCATGTTTTTGCACATAATATTTATCTTAATAAACAGGAAAAGAACGGAACATAGGAAAGTATATTAGTTATATTTGTCAATTGTATAAAAAAAATATAACATGTAAATTACCTATCTTTTTTTTTAATTAAAACCATCGCACTGTATATTATTATTTAAATTACAGATGTCAGATACCTGGTTTGAACAATGATACTTACCAAATACAGAACGGCCAGCATGCCAGTATGATTAACAAAACAATTCCACCATCCAATGATGAGAAACGCAAGTATGGTCGATGTCATTACTACAGAAATAACACCAGAGACATGGTCAAATGTTCTAAATGGGTCTATGATACCAACACTTTCCACGAAACTTTCACTTCAAAGGTCTGTATCATAGTCAGTTCTTCAATAAAATCATCTGAACCGACTCGGTGGTCTCGTGGTAACGTGCTAGCCTCGAGTGTGGGAGTTCGTGGGTTCGATCCCTTATCGGATCAAACCAAAGACTTGAAAATTGGTATTTGCTACTTCTCTGTTAAGCATGGCATTTGCTGCTTTTCAGCTAAGCACGCGAGATTTAGGAATAAGAGCAAAGACTAGTCGGCTCGAAGACAGAATTATTTTTGATGCGAATTAAGAAATAAAAAATAAATCGACAGACAAGATGGTTGATATCTGAGAAAATTTAGTGCAGAGCTTTTTAGGCTGACACTATCTTTAGCTTTGTACTTCATCTTTCGTGAGATGCATGCAATTTATAAATGAAATATAATTGCAAAGACATTATTTTACAGATATATTATACTTATTTCAAGTTGGTGTTTCTTTACAGATGAACTTTGTTTGCGATGATGCAATTAAAACCTCACATGCTCAAATGATATTTTATGGAGGAGTTCTTTTTGGTGATGTCTCGCTTGGTATATTGTCAGATAAGTAAGAAACTTAGAGAGAAAGAGAAAGAGAGATATTTCTTAAAAAAATATATATGTTAAGATAATTTTTAATTTTGAAAAACAATCATCCTTTCCATCGAACTTCTTCTACAATCTTGTAAGTATCAACCTATAAATCTTCCTATCTAGACATATACATTTTATCTTGCTCCAACGTAGGTGTTAACAAGATGAGGAACAGCAACAAATGGTTGATATGGGGGACGTATTAGGACAGCGTATTATTAACTATGTATTTCATTATAATAGCTTATATTATATTATTTTTTCTGTGTCGAGTTCTGGAGGCAATTCAATTAAACTCGAAAATTTACAATATATCATGAGAGAAATAAAATAATAATCAATTTTAATTTGTTATTTACTGTCTATTTACAGAATTGGCAGGAAAAAAACATTTTTGTTATCAACCATTATAACATTAGTAATGGCTGTTGGCGTTGCTTTCTCATCGAGCTTTTTAGTATTTGTAATACTTGAGTTCATGATTGGTGCTGCACATCACGGTGGATTTATGATCTGTTGTGTCATGAGTATGTATATATGTATTCGAAACTTTAAATTGTTCCGAATCCTCAGGATTTTCTTACCAAGGAGTAGATTAACTTAGCTGTTTGGGTAAACCTTCGGAATTTGGGGTCCTCAATGCTCCTCAACTTCATACTTGATTTGGCCTTTAACGTTTTTGATGAATCTTGTGAAGACGAAACGAGCGTCTGTGTACAAAATTATAAGGCTTCTGTCTTGAACACTTTTTTTTACAATGATGCAATTATGATAATAGGAGATGCGGCGGATACGTCAATGAGACAGCAAACCAACGAAACATTGTAAACATCTAGGACAACATACAGTCCTAAACAAGATACAGACGTATTAAAATCACCTCGAGTCGGAACAAGTTGTGAATAAATTAAAAGAGACTATCAATAATTTACATTATCATCCAACATTAAGTTCCATAAATAACAAATAATATTATAGGTTCATTACTTGAGACGGCCACATGATGTGGAGGTTTTCAATATGTGTATGCTATAATGCTTTGCGGGTACTACTTTAGAGAACCTGATCAACCTTTGCCTGATCAGTTCAACTCATTTGCAGAACACAGAATCTTGCATATCTGCGAAGTACATTTTGAAATCCGCTTCTTCAAGATGTCATTTTATGCCAAATTTGCTACACTTATATAATATGTGCATGTGTTTTATCTCGTTCAGCTACAATTTAATGTCTTACCTACAAAATTCTTATATTATACCACAGAATGATATATATACACATTTTAACATTAAGTGGTGTATATTTTGATATATTTTGTGGATGCGTCAACATAATGTTTTGTGTTCAAACTTTACTTTACTTGTATGTGACTTGTTATTCTATTCATCTGTATAAGCCTTAGGCGAGGAGCTTCTCGTGAACAGTGTAAAAGCTTAATTGTCAGATCCTTTAACTTCACATTCTGCTATCTAGATAATGTCATTCCAGTTAATAATTAAAAGGTTAATGACTTTCAGGTTTTGAAGTGGGGATTTCAATCTTTGGTTAGATGTTTTTTTTTATTTTTTTGTTAAATTTTCAATCAACAAACAACATTCCATAATAGCACCGTGCGTTATATATTTACTTATCGTGAGATTCATATTCAATCGTTTGTTTCATAATATATTATCAATGATGATATAGTATACAAATTAAAGGAATCCCTTGGAGTTCGGTATTTTTGTTATTTTACTTTTTTTCGAAGTATCCAAACAGGATAAATTCTATCAAAAAGGCCTGAAACAGTATAATACTAGTAATAATTATATTTGATATATATTGCTACCGGGATTGTTTGACTGTTGCTAAATTAGTTGATTTTATTTTCCCGTTTTCCTTATAAGTCTTCCGAATGATAATGTAATGTTAGACACTTAGATTTGAAAATGACTGGGTGTTGATAAAACAAATTCAGTCTCAGTTTGTTGACGAAATTGATGAGTTTTCTTTTCAAATCAATTAAGGATTTACTTCACTTTTTAGGACACGCAGTGTTCATATTACGATCATTAACCATTAATTATTGAAATAAATAAAAAAACATAATGCGAAAGGGAAATAGAATAAATCAACTTATGCACTATTATTTTCTATTTTCCACCCAAAGGTTTGGAATATGTTGGACCGTCTAAGAGAGTCCTCACTGGCATTCCTATACATATCTTCTTTGCGTTTGGTATAATGTATATAGCATTAATGGGTTATCTTCTGCGTAATTGGTTTTATGTACAGCTGGCAGTAGGTGTTCCATTTGGAGTTTTCTTATTTTATTGGTGGTAAGTATACACATACTTTTTTCGTTAATTAAGTCATTACATGTTTCCCAATTTTGTCATTATGATGCATAATAAGCGTATTGTCTTATTATTTTGTCGACTATTTTCACAGCTTCATCTATGACCTTTTCGCATTTTATATGCTTTTTCGTAGGTTTTTTTCCTCCCTTGAACTTTTCAAACATTGTAACTGACATAGCGTCTGATGAAGCTGTTTTAAAATAAACGTTATTTGTATGTCATGTCTGTTATGACTAATTACACGCTGTTTCTACAGTTTTCTTTTGATCTCAATTAAGTACCCTAGTATCGGGATGTATTTTAGTTGATAATTCTAATACAAATAAAATTAGAATACAAGAGTACCAAAACGGGTATGCTTAAACGAATATCAAAAGTCTCAAATACTCATGGCAATACAATTCTTGGACGCCTTCCAATATATTGTGTTATGCTTTAAATGTATATACAATCTATTGAATAATTGAATTGTTTTAAATTTCTCATAGGATGATACCAGAATCTTCCAGATGGTTACTAAGCCAGGGAAAATATGATGATGCTGAAAAAATTATACAACAAATAGCAAAAGTAAACATGAAAACGATCCCATCTAGAATGGTAGATGAAAAAACACTGGACACTCCAAAGACGGCGAACGTGTATCACTTGTTTTCTACCTTAGAAATGACTAAACGGACGATCATACTTCTATGGAACTGGTAAATATTCTCAGAAATTCGGTTAGATTAGTGTAAAAAAATGTAAAATATTATAGGATTAACGCCTTTTTAAGGGAATTTATTGGTGTATAAACTCGACCAAGTCACTCAAAAACAAATAAGAGTCCGAAGGACTTTTATGATATGTTTGTGAGTGACTTGGTCCAGTTTATACACCAATAAATTCCTTTAAAAGGGCGTTTAATCCTTATAATTTCTTTAAAATTGGAGATAAGGAATTTATTTTTCCACACTCGTAACCTCTATCACAAGTAAATTGTGTATTTGTGTCATTGAATTGGCCCTGGCACATGAATATATTTGTTGGTTAACGCAAAAATGTGTACTCCAGGAAATTTGCTATCTGGTAAAAAATAAACTACAAAAACTCTTATTATCATTCAAATGAATGTTTTGTGTTTATTATTTAATTTAACGATTAACGCGAAGTGAAAATAAATATTTTTAACGTCGGGCCTAATTGTGTTATTATAGCCGGCATCCTGTTTACATTGGTTACAAAAAGAAGTTCGGTCAACGTCGTCTATCGCAAACTCCGAAACAGTGGTGACGTTGCTTCGCTAAACTATCATCACTGCCAGCACTTCGCATCTCTCGGGTCTCATTCATAGAGGACTCTCTTCCGGGATTTAACAACGTAAACAATCGTCTGCCGCATATACAATAACATCGCTTAGATTGTGATAATGGTAAAGAAAAACAATGACATAAAGCACAAATCGATTACATACAATTAAAAAAAAATATGTATGAAAATACATTAGAATAACAAATTTACACATGAGATATGAGATAATTCCTGCCGTTGGCGTTGTGTTGTCTTGATCAAACAAAAAAACAAAAAAATAACAAAAGATCAATCATCACACCATGATGGCATGAATCAGGTTGCGTAAAACACGGCCATATATATTTTTTTTCATTATTTCTTTTGATGAACATTATTTATATAAATAAAATTGAGGAAATTAAAACGGGGTCTATAGACAATAATTCAGTTTGCCAGACAGCTTCGGATCACACCTACTAAATTTTTACCTTCTTTTTCTTGACTATGTCAACGTAGTGTAGCAAGGAAGACGGTACCACTGTTTCGGAGTTTGCGTCTATCGAAATATAAACAACGTCAAGAACAACTACCGGAAGTCCTCTCGACCAATCATATCAACGTATTCCCTAATATGCAAATCATATAAGAATTATTAATGTTTAACGTTACGTAGAAAGGCTTTCTTATCTTGTTTTTTTCCTTTTACCCATGGCGATGTCTTTAGTTCTTTTGATTTTCTATCAGGGTATACATGTAATAATAATGCAATCCTTTTGAAATGTATTTTACTTCTTTTCCTTTTTATCATGCATGTTTTTTGTCTTTTTGTATTTTGGATGGATTCATTTCGTAGATCCTATGTAAAAGTGTTGGTAGATAAAACAAACATTAACTAAATTATCTTATAAGCAAAAAAACGAAGAGATAATATCATAATACGGACACCCCATTGTCAACATAAACAATGGTGTGGAACAGTTTCAAAGAGAAACTCACAATGCCATGACAAAAAACGGAAAATGGAAAGTCCACAAAACACTACATAGAAAATTAAATACTAGGCAACATGCACACCTTAAAAAACCGGGGTGATCTCAGGTTTTTCTTTGGAATGCTGTTTGGATCATCAGATTTTGCTCCACATGTGACACTCAGCATGTTGTTCATGGTAAGTACAATTATATGAAAAGTCATATTTCGTGATGTCGTAACTGGTGTTGTGGTTACGAAAATTGGAACATATCCCTGCTCATCTATAACACAGACAACCCAGGCGATGGCGTCCGTAAAACGTTCAAAGGGATGACTCAACGATACGCAAACTCGGCACAGACATTTTTATCAAAAAAATGTAATCGTGTTTGAAAGAACATGCCAAGTAAATGTGACATCAATGTTTTAGAAAAGAAACACATATAAAGAGATTATAATTGATATATCGATGCATTTAACTAATTAATACTAATTTTAAAATAAAGTAGTATTAAGTAATAAATTGCTATGATAATTTGTCAAGCATTTACAGCAATAAATGCACAAATCATTTTTTCTATGGAATTGTCCGGATTGCATTTCAAAATATTCACCACTTACTTTCAGGATAGTGATTGCTATGGTATATTATGGAGTAACCATGCATACTGGAGGCAATATTGGTGGAAATTTCTTTGTGAATTTTTTCATACTTGCTATCGTAGAAGTTCCTGCTAATTTGCTTGTAATTGCAACATTAAACCGAGCAGGAAGAAAAAAGATCCATTGTTTCTGTATGATTGTTGGAGGCATAGCTTGTCTGTGCACCATATTTTCTGTTCTGTTTGGAGGGAGAGGTAAGATGCATTTTCATTTCGATTAAAATAAGACGTTTAATCGTCTCCAGAAACTTAGGTAGTGCCGCATTCACTCTTTCGATCATAGATTCGGCAAAAAGTTTTTTAAAAAATGATAAAAATCATCTTTCAAGGGCAATAATTCCTATAAGGGATCAATTGAAAATTTCTGTAATATTGACTTATTTATAGGTCTTACTTTGCTAAACGGTTTTGCTGTTTTGCTGTTTGAAGTTTATCTCTATCTGTCATTGTTTCTGCGAAAAACAAAATGAAATTGTTCATTACACATTGTGACATCAGGTTAAATGTACATTAAACAGCACAGCGCTACAATAGGATTGATTGATTGATTGATTGATTGATTGATTGATTGATTGATTGATTGATAGTTTTTTGTTGAACGCCACTTTCTGCACTATTGACTATTTCGTGGCGGTCAGTTTTTATTGGTTGAGGAAGTCGGAGGGCCCGAGAGAACCACTGAACTTCGGTAGGAAAACTGACAATCCTAGTCAATAAAGATTGGAGTCGATCGCACTTGCCACGTTCGGGAATTGCACTCATTACCTCAGTGTTAACAGGCTATGAATACAGAATTTGGACTTCTTAGACCACTCGGCCACCGAGGCCCACGCTACTAAAGGAATGAGTTTCATAATTTTTCAAATTTAAGATAATATTCCTATTAATTATGAGGCAGCAACTTTCATAAGGATCATTGACATAAGATAACTGACTCTAAGCTGTTCTCATTTTATCGAACCATGTCTATATATGATTACAATTCATAAGATACTAGACATAAATGTCAGTACGCCATATTATACCTGATTATATGCTCTATATACGCATCAAGATACATTTTGTTAGTATTGGAAACTTTCTTTTGTGCATTTCCAATATTATTGTGCATTTGCTATATTTCAGAATTGCAACCATTAACTCTAACTTTAGCCATCATTGGGAAAATGGGTTCAGCTGCAGCTTTCGGAACTATTTATGTCTATTCTATGGAACTGTATCCTACTGTGGTCCGAACTAGTGGAATGGGTTTAAGTTCATCTATTGCAAGAATTGGTGGAATGGTTGCTCCTTATTTAGCTCAATCAGTAAGTTCTTGTATTTCTAACCTAGACTGGACGAGTAGTTACGGTTCATGTGGACCCTCAAACCTCTTTCCCAACTTATTTTGTCACCTTCTGGAGGAATGAATAAAGTGCACTGCAAAATCCTGTGGGGGTATTGCCAATGTTTTTTTTCAACTGATCAGGCGGAACTTACGTTTTTTTTAATTTACATAAGGACAGTCTATTTAAAGATGTGTGTGTGATAAGGATAATTTTCGTTATAATTATTATTACTGATTTCTAATCACCTATCATTGTCACCAAACGGATATACAAAAGAACAAAGTGTATGATATGGGACGAATAAAATTTATATATGCAATAGCTAAGTTGTTTTTTTTTAAAGTTTCGGCTATTGTATTATTCTGTTTAAAACCTTTCTACTTGTGAGATTAGTATTAAACATGATTTATAAAAATTATATATAAAAAAAGAATATTTACGCCCTTTTTTTCTCCCTTAAATATGATCATAATAGACAGCTTTCAAAAAAAACATTTTGCGATTTACGCGTGTAAGTTTTTATACCGCTCTTATATTTTATTTTTAAGAAGTTTTTCGAGTCGCATATTCAGCAACCGACGGCCACTCCAGTAAATGACTTTACAAATAGAACTACAGAAGCTACCATGCGGAGAAAAATTGTTAGCAACGTTTTTCGAATAAAGATATTTATTAAAGATGGTACTTCCATCCGGGTCCAATGGGAAGATTTACGCAGTAAATGCAGTTTGCTTTATTTTCAGAGCAAATATATATTGTCTGTTTTATTGTATAGGCTGATGTTGTTGGAGGTAAATTTGGACAAGCTTTACCATTAGTTATATTTGGTGGTTGTTCCGTTTCTGCGGGACTACTTTGCCTTTTCCTTCCAGAGACTTTAAATAGGAAATTACCAGAAACAGTAAGAGAAGCCAAAGATTTTACAAAGTGAGTTTGTTTATCTTTCTTTCGTATGCTTGAATAAGACAAATATTCATAATGTATGCAAGACACTTCATTTTATAAAAATGAAAAAAAATTCCAGGTTACAATGCACTTCATCAAGTTCTAAAATTTATTATTTCTGTAACAGAAACATAACAATCATGCAGTGAAATTTGAATATATATGATTCATCTAAAAAGGTTGCATATTATAACAGTGTTCAGCAATATAACGGGTGAAGCAATAAAGTAATAAAGTTTATTCTAATGTTAAATTTGTAAATTCAAATTATAAAGCTGTCTCCCTTTTTGATAAACATGTATATTATGTCCATTCTACAGCATTTATACATGCGTGTCCTATATATACCAGGGCTGGTGAATTTCCTTTTACGATAGCTCTTTAAACAAAGACATGTTTATGTAATATTTATCAAGAATATGTGAACACATACACCCTGTTCAGCCAACAATATCACAATAACATGTTCAGTGAACCGCAATGTGGTGACCAACATATTTGATACCCGTTTCCATGCGCCGGAAACAGGATTCTGATTCATCAGGTACCCTCGGTCAACAACAAACGTTTGGGAAAGTAAATGCATACAAAATTTAATCAATAGCATGTTTTAAAATGACGAAATATCGTGGTACATTTTTGCACATTTACTGCATCCTTGTTTCGTTGCCTGAAATGTCTTGGTATTTTTCGTCATTCTTTAAAGAAGCGGGGGCTTCGTTTTAGTTGTCTTTGAGCTATATTTTTGTTTTGAATTGATTGCGATGTATATTAAATTCATGATTATTTTTTTTCGTTCGTTTCGCTTTCTTGTCCTCAACATCGTGTATTTCAAATTAAACCGTTCAACGTTTTTCTCTGTGCATTAAGTTCTGATTTCTCATTTAAAACTTTCCTATTTATAAAATAAGTTAATTTACAATGGTGGAAATAGACATTTTGTATCGTGGTTGTTGTTTGTTGGTGTGGTTCATAGGTGTTTCTCGTTTCTCGTTTTTTATATAGATTAGATCGTTGGTTTTCCTGTTTGAATTGTTTTACACTAGTCATATTGGGGCCCTTTATAGCTTGCTGTTCGGTGTGAGCCAAGGCTCCGTGTTGAAGGCCGTACTTTGACCTATAATTGTTAACTTTTTATACATTGTGACTTGGATGGAGAGTTGTCTCATTGGCACTCATACAACATCTTCTTATTTATATTGAAAAAGTCATTGTTATAATAGGAATTGCGTTTTTTATTTGCAGAAAATTAGACCTCGACGATATCAACAAAGAAAAACCCACACAAAAAGAATACCTCTCCAATACTGAAAAAGAAAAAGCAAAAATGAAAGAAATATACACTGTTTCATCTTGAAAATTGAAAAAAATATTTTAAGATCTGAAGGCATATAAAAGAAAAAATGTACATTTTTCTTATATACATGTACATGGTTATATAAATATTATCAACACTTTTTAATATTTTAATAAAATGAAAGATTGACATGGCATTGTTTAAGATTGCTTCTTAAAATTTAAGTAGATTAGAAATACTTAAAGATGTTTGTTCCTCTGTTTCAAAATAACAAACTTTTTAAAAGATTGTTATAAATTGACAGTATATAATCAAAGTACTGAAGTACTGAACATCGGATGACCGCAGGTTCTTGTGGATGGTCAAAAGCACATGTCACAGAAATAGATCACATCTCTATACCTGAAACTGAGGTTAATTTAAAGAGATATATTTTTTTCTGATACAAGTTCGTGCATGGATGATGAATAAATGACAGGAAATTCAGCCGCACCGTAATAACTACTATATTGTAGTGATACAAATCAGTATACCTGGGACTATTATACTAATATAATAATAGTACCAGAGAATACACTGGTTTGTTGTTATATATTATATTAATATTACGGTTGCATGTATATATCATTTTCATCTATTTGTATATCATTCTATTCTACTATTTTAATTATAGTGCAGTGCAAGTGCATGGTGGACACTCTTCTGTAAAAAAATCGATTTTTCTAAAAGATTGGATATGAGAAGCCATTCATATTTTCCCGCAAAACAATAACAGAGTTATCGGTCCTTGCCGGGAGTGTCGCAAAACGTTCTTGAGATATTCTTCCGTAAGCTTTAACACAATTTTTTCGGTACGTGTGCATAGATATCATCAATGATTTTTTACTTTTATATATATAACTAACGACAACACATTTTCATATTATTAATTTGTGTTTTAATAAAAATATTTATAGGAGTATCCATTGAAAAAATGAATTTGAAACAAGCGATAAGTAATGTTATTTTGCACTAGATAATGACCGCGGATCTATAATTTTATAGATCGGTTGAAAACCCAAAACTAATTTGCATAATGGAAATTTAGGCGATAGCAATACATCGAAATGACCTCACGGTCATCGCGATGTAAAAAATGGAATTAAAAAAGCAGAAAAAAATCAACGGTCCGTATGCTTGTTTTCAAGATATAAGCCATTGAAAATATGGCGGGAAATGATTCCTTCTAGATTTTTCATACATTTAACATTGACATTTATTTTCTTTCAAAAACTTCGAAAAAATAACAAGGATTTTATAAGATTTTCAAATATGGCTTTTTAAACTATATGTAATAAAATTATAAAAAGAAAAGTAAGGGTTTGCGGGCAAAATGTTTTAATGAAACTACATGGATAAAACCAGAGGATTCCGAAAATCTGGCAAAAATTCAAAAGCAAGAGGAGCAAACATCCTTAAGTTCTGTCTTTACTGTACATATGTCAGTTGTTTGTGGACTTGTTTGACTTTTCATATTTTTTCGGTTTTTATACGCCCGTCAATTTTTGACGGGACGTATTATGGTATACAAATGTCCGGCGTCCGTCCGTCTGTCTGTCTGTCCGTCCGTCTGTCTGTCCGTCTGTCTGTCTGTCCGGCGTAAACATGTCGCACCGTAACTTGAGAATGACTTATCCAAATTTCATGAAACTTAACATAGTTGTTTCTTATGATGGTCAAACGATCTGTATACTTTTTGGTGAAAATAAGATTAAAACTTTTTGAGCTACGGGACTTAGTAACTAAAACAGGTGTGTGTTGTTTTTCACATGTCGCGCCGTATCTCGAAAACAATTTATGATTATTGCTTAAAACTTTACACACTTCTTAGTTATATTAATCTTAAGATCTGTATACTTTTTGGTGATGATTCAAAATTTTGTTTAAGAGATATTGAGTATTTTGTTAAAAAAGGGGGAGGGATTTTTCACATGTCACGCCGTATCTCAAAAACAGTTTATGATTATTGCTTAAAACTTTACACACTTCTTAGTTATATTAACCTTAAGATCTGTATACTTTTTGGTGATGATTCAAATTTTTATTTTTGAGTTATTGAGTATTTTGTAAAAAAAGGGGGAGGGGTTTTTCACATGTCGCGCCGTATCTCAAAAACGATTTATGATTATTGCTTAAAATTTTACACACTTCTTAGTTATATTAATCTAAAGATCTGTATACTTTTTGGTTTTGATTCAAAATTTTATTTTTGAGTTATTGAGTTTTTTGTAAAAAAAAAAGGGGGGGGGGGTTTTCGCATGTCACGCCGTATGTCAGAAACTATTTATGCTTATTGCATAAAAATTCACACACAAGACGACGGGCGTATCATGCTCTCATGGCGCAGCTGTTTATTGGCCTTGGCGTTGTCACTTTCTCTTCGACTTAAGTGTTTCGGATGTGCTCTGGTGATATCTTCCGCTTCTCTCTTAACAAAACATGTTTCTACGCTCAAGAATGGGAATAAGACCATAAGCATTAATTTGAATAAGCTATATCTGGATTTTGTCTCTGTATTATTCTTAACTTCAAGTTTACGTATTTATATGAAATGTTGGTATGAACAAACTGAAAGAAATCATCTAACTACCAAGTCAAGAATAGAACAGAGTTTTTACGATATGATTTTCGAAAAAAGAAATGGAAGTCAAAAGAAGATGACACTGTGCGCATTTTTTAATATACTTTTTGATAATTTTGATCATAATTTTCATTAAATGTTTTTTTGAGGATATTATTATTTCCTTCTAGATTATAGCTAATAGTCAAAATGAAGATTATAGACACAATAGACAATATTTCATTAGCACGAACGCAATTATAACAATTGGTAAAGGTTCAATTTAGTACATTGTATAGAAATATATAATCAAAGTTCTGACGTGCTGTTTACTCGGATGAACACAAGAGCTGATGGTTGGCAAATAAATAAAAAAAAATGTTAAACCTCCACGTAGAGTACTAGCAGTTGCTTTTTCAAGTCAAATATCAAACATTTCATCCACATTTAAGACGTTAACATACTAGTATTTAACATGTAATCAATTGTCTAGGTCCTGTGGGCATAGAAAGTCGAAAGGGATAACAAAAAAAGTTAAATGTGTTTTGCACTGTCGGAAGACTGGATATTACATCTAACGAATGCATTTCAAACAAATGTGATTGATTGCGTTTAAAACAGGCGCCCTTCCCCAATACAAGACTGGAGAAGTTTATGTGACTATAATTCTAGACTCATGTGACTCTTACTTGTGTAAACAGTATGCGTTGGTTGCCCTTTTCCTTAAAACTTCACAGCGTAGATCGTTTTTGTTCTTTGATTAGTGTTTAATATGTCTAATTTACTCACTTTGTCATAATTAAGCCATGACCCCACCAATGCATAACGTATTAGATTCATGTAATTTCTACCGTGTATATAGTAGCAATTGTTTTATTTGTCTTTATGAATTGACTAAACGGAAGACGTTATCACAGAAGCATATTTGGTTTGCTTAGTTTAATCAGTAGTGGATCAAGGAACTATTTAAAAGGGGTTGTGGTTATATGTCAACGAGGGGAGGAGGAAGGAGCCAACACTTCTATTATGACAATAACCATTTCCGAGAATGTGAACGTTTAAATAGTGAGATCATGTTCCTGAAAATGGATTAGCACTGACGAACGTGTATTATATATTTACACTTATATCTTGATATGATAGTTTACACTTCTCAGGCATCATAATAATGTGACATGATCAGAGTATAAACCCTGCTTTGTACTGAACCGACACACTAAGCCTGATTCTTAACGTGCTTTTCAACAAAGAAACAGTCCACAGGTAGACATGTCAGCCTACGCGGACAAATTATTCTGACTCCGCGTCGCCCAGTCTATGCTCTTACTCCTAAATGTCGCGTGGATTTAAATTTAACAACACATAGCCTTATAATTCAAATTTGAATTCAAATTTTTATTGCCATATAAACTTTAAACAATAAGTTTGTGACAAATACAAAATAAGTATACAATACACGTATAGCTGAAATTCACAATCATTTAATTACTGTAAATAGAATCCCTTGTCCTCAGTTCTACTGACTTTTTAATGTAGGACCCCAATTTATTTACATATGATGGTGTTGATGGATTGAGCATTAAAATCACCTTTTCTTCATCAGTCAAATCTTGAACAGAAATTATCAAAAAAGCTGTTTCTCAGCTCCCTTTCTAATTCACAATCTAATAAAACATGTTTTTCATATTCTAATATGTTACATTTATGGCATAATCTCTGCTCTCTAGGAATATTATAATGTCTTCCTTTTTCTATATCTAAGTTATGATGATCACTTATTCTTAGTTTTGTTATTAATTTTCTATATGTAAAGTTTGGTGTTCTTAAATAGTCTTCAAAAAATAATTTTTGTTTAAGGTTCTTATATGAATAAAGTTTTATTACTTCTTTCATACATTTTTTTTTGCATCTTATTATGAATCAATTTTCAAAGTAGTTTTTAGAACTTGTTTTTATATAAGTTAAACTTTTAAATGAATTATTTATTTTTAGGTCTGAACTAGTCATGATCTTGTAGGATTTGTGTAATATCTTTATTAAGTTCACATAGGAATATTTTTACATAGGTAAACCTCACAATGATTACTTAAAAATACGGACGCACACATGTTAATGTCTTTGAAACAATTATTCTATCAGAACTATTGTACAAAACAAATACATTCAGTTCCATGTATTAATCCCATGTTAACCATAAAGATTTAGCGTTACCAGTTATCATGATCGGGCATATGTATACAATTCTTAAAATTCATCCGCGTACAATATGGGTACTTTGGTGACCCATGTATCTAGGTACCTGTTCGTTATTATGATCTTTATGATTTTTTACTTATGTATATTTCTCAAAACATAACATGTTGATTACAAATAAATGTTCTTAAAAAAATATTTTCATAAAATTTCATTGATAATATTAATATACATGAAGCGATAAAGAATTCCATTTTGCACTCGATAACGTCAGCGTATTTATATGTATACGTAGTAAGGCGTGTGTAAAGGAACACTCAGAAACTGCCATAGAATTACTTCGGATTCCCTCACGGTAATCCGAGTAAAAAATAACAATTGAAAATTACAACAACTAATAACCAATACTTTCTAATATTTACAATTATTAAAGGTTTTGTAAAACCTTATTTCTTACTCTCAACAATTCAAAAATGTTATGTGAACATATCTTTGATATTTTTAATGTGCCACTATTTAACAATCGTTTTGACTTATACTACCATTATGTATATTTCTAAAATTTGGGTAAAATTTAGACAATTTTGTCAAAAGGATTTCTCTTTCCTTAAGCCATTGTAATAGCTTATTGTATATTTTCCCCCTCAAAATGAAAAAAACCGCTATAAATTGCATGCGTCTGAAGCGCTTTTTCTGGATTACTTTCATCAGGAACACTCAAACCCCCAAAAATTTAAAAGCCAGGTCATCGTTTCATAAATACGTAGAATCTGACGGAGCTATTTGACCAAAAGCCAAATTCATCGAAGATCAACTTTGCTTGATGGAGTCAAACCATGACCTCCTTTCAAACTGTAACTTCACTTATATATATGTGCAAATCAGTCTGTGTAGACTAAATATCCTACACTTTTGAATGTCAAAATATTATAGAAAAACCTTAAAATACCATAGTAAAGTTTCTGTTAAAACTCATTTATGAAGTTTGCCTTTAAAATTTTCACTACTAAAATCAAGTATCATGTATAATCATTAAACAAATTAAATACTAGTAATTGCGACAAAAATTACGGAAACTCTACTGATCACATATGACTAGAAAAAGCTTAATATCAGGGTTTTGAAGTAAAATTAGTACATTTTTTAGTACCAAAGCATCATTAAAATTTACAATTTTATACAAGTCGTTCAATTTGGCTTTTTGTATTTTACTGTTTTAAAGAACGTTTATTTGTCGAAAACGGTTTTACATGTTTCACCAATTGATTTTGAATATTTTAGCGCAACCAGTTACTATTTTTTTTAATCCGCCAAGTAAATCAGAAAACGAATCTCCGCTTTCCTTTTCTACGTTATTTCTTTCGTTTGATCTTAATGCATCCGAAGACATCTTTTCATTGAATTTATCCTCCTTCTTTTTCATTTCTTCCTGTAATTCTTTTTCTTTCTTGTCTAGTTTTCTTTTCATTTTCTTCTTCGATTCATCGAGCTCCTTCTGCAGTTCGGCTTTTTCCAGGTCGGTAGCCATTTTTCGAGATATCAAGGCATCTTCAAGTTCACTTTTTTCATTCAGTTCTTGTTCAAGCGTTTCCAGGTATTTACATTCTACTTCATTTCTGACATCTTCAATCTCTTGTTTCTTCTGCATTTTCAACTTTTCCCTTTCAATCTGCATCCTTCTCTGCAATGTGATTTCAGCTTCTTGATACATTTCATTCGTATAACAGGAGCGGCCATTCTCACTACACATCGTTTCGACCATTTCAAAAAAATCATTAACCTGATCTTTCTTTGGTTGTCCAGTTGCGTCATTGTTGAAAGAAATATACCTATTACCGCATTGCTGAAGGATAGCTTTCAGTTCTTTTGGGACTGTTTCCACGTATCGATGAATTGACTGTTTCATCTTTGTGAGGTCATCCTTTCGAGTGAAAAGTACGATCATATATTTGAAAACGCCATTCCCAAAATGATTAACAAAATGCTTGACAGTATCTTGTTCTTCTTTTGTAAATCGACCGACACTGACAACAAGAACAACAGCATGCGGTCCTGGTGACGTCATTCCGATACATTTAATTATCTCCTTGGTAACATCTTCATTCGTCGCTTCCGTATCGAATAAACCAGGTGTATCAACTACTACAACTTTCTTTTCATTTCTAATAGATTCTCCTCGTTTACATTTTTCGGTTACCGAAGAACCCGAGGGCAGTGATCGAAACTGATCAACCCCTAAGATAGTGTTTCCAGTTGCACTTTTACCAGTCCCTGTTCGACCAATGAGTACAATACGAATTTCCCCATCTTCTTCAAATATATTGGCTTCTTCTTTTACTGCACTGGTCACTCTGTCAACAATACTGGCATCTTTATCACTTCTTATGGTTACTCCATTGGCTACATCTGTAGTTTCAACAACTCGACTGGCAACTTCATCTACTGCTTCATAAACTGTATCGGCTTTTTTATTCCTTGTGGTATGTGTTTCATAATTTGTATGTTTTAAAGATGCCTCAACGTCAATAGCACTAGTAAATTTTTCAACCACACTATCTATGTTATCCGTTTTAAAGGCTGTCTCATGTTTATATGTTTTTCCTGTTAATTCACTGGCTGCTTCGTCAACTGAACTGACTAGTTTATCGGTAACATCTTTAAACGTATTGGCTGTTTTATCAACTGTACTGACTAATATATCGGTAACACCTGTAAACATGTTCGCTGCTTCGTCAACTGTACTGACTACTTTATTGGTAACCTCTTTAAATGTATTTGCTGTTTTGTCAACTCTATCGACTACTTTATCGGTAACATCTTTGAAAGTATTGGCTGCTATGTCCACTGGACTGACTATGTCTAATACCTTCGTAGATGCATCATCAGCTTTACTAGATGAAGAATCTGAAAAAATTGTAACGCAAAGTATATCAGTATTGTACAATTTTCATATGTACTGGTACTTCTGCATTTATTCATCTATGTCTTTATTTTGTTTATCATTCGCAACGAAAGGGCAAGAGAAATGTTAAGAACGCATTTTACATCCTCCATTTTGAACATTTACACGTTTAGGTCATTCAAGATGATCAGTATAAATAGGGCTATCGTTTAAGACAATGTTGTGTTAAATATAAAATACAGGATTTTCAAAGGACTATTTTCCCATAGTTTAGGGTAAACATGGTTCATTCTTTTATAAGATGTTAACATGGTAATACTTGGATACTGCTACTGATGGATTGATTTTTTAATAATTGGATGAAAGCTGTTTCAGACTCTTCATTCGACGTCACAGGCTGTAATTTTACACACCAGAAGGGCGTTTCATCTACAAAAAATTCATCAGTGATGCTCGAATCAAAAAATTAAAAGGATACATTAAGTACGAAGTTGAAGAGCATTGAAGACTTAAAATATCTCTTATATGATGCTAGTTTTTCCCGAACCGCTGAATCTCTTTTCGTGTTCTATCACAACTGTTTAGACTGTCCTAGGGTTGGAAAACACTTACCATGACTTTTCAATGATGATTTTTCCACTTCTTCTTCACATTGAGAAGAAAATCGACATGACCGACATTTCTTCGAATTAGAATGGTTTGACGATGCACACCTAGTACACGACCAGTCTGTAATATTTAATATTGCTTCAGATTATTTATTTGTTTGTGAATAAAGATAAGATAAGACAAATTATTTTATTTCCAATAGAGGACTCATTATGGTAAAAACCAGTAAAATATGGTCAGCATATTAAACCAATATATATTCTATAGCACGACAATCTTTTAACAAACTTGATCAAAACAATAATCATAAAGAAAGACAAAAGATGCTGACAGATTTGTAATTTGTATGAATAATGAGATCTATGCCGCATTTTTGCGCCTGTCCCAAGTCAGGAACCTCTGGCCTTTGTTAGTCTTGTATGTTTTTTCTAATTTTGGTTCATTTATATGTTTCGGAGTTTAGTTTCACGTCCATTAGCTGAACTAGTATACATTATTGTTTAGGGGCCAGCTGAAGCCCGCCTCCGTGTGCGGGATTTTCTCGCTGTGTTGGTCGAGTTTTTGTCTCTTTGACGCATTCCCCGTTTTCATTCTCAATCTTATGGTATAAATCAAATACACAGAACAGTAACCCTAACGCAACGTTAAACCAGACAATGTCATCAGAGGTCAACAGATGGTCTTCATCCATCGTTCTGAGTCTATCTAAGTTCTGAACGAGTTAAACCGGGACTTCCAAAGACTTTTCAACCACAACATTCTTTTTAAAAGACACAAAATGTCCAGATTAAACAAATCACCTGACAAACGTTTTTTGTTATAAGTGTTCTAAGTCTAGGCAAAGATCACAATTGTTTGGCTTTTCAATTGTTTTGATTTGAACTCCGTTAATAAGTCTTTGTTATGCGATGGAGTTTTAAGGCTTACAAAACGGTATATGGGTTTTGCTCATTGTTGAAGTCTGTACGGAGACCCATAGTTGTTTACATCCTCGTCCTTTTGTCTCTGGCGAATAGTCGTCTTATTGACAATCATACCACATCTCCTCGTTTTATTTATGTAGATGACACTCGCCTCTGGCTTACCAAAAGCCTGGCAACATTTATGACTTTTGTAAACAAGCATATATATAAAAATGTGGTGTGCTTAAACTTGAACCTATATCGTAAGCCAATGATGTAACATTTATATTTTATTCTTTAACATTTACCTATCTTTGTGAAAGCAAGTAGGTTGTCAAAAGGAAGCTATGTTTAAGATATCTTATTTTAGAGACACGTGACAATATCACTTGAAATGTATGAATTTGGAAATCTAATCCTAACATCTTTTACTTTACCTTTATTTTTCATGGTAGTTGTGTGTTTATTTATGTACATATATCACTTTACGTGGGATTCTGATCCTCGTATGTTTTTTTGTGCATTTATTGTTAGATATACATTGTATCCAAAAACACTTGTCCACAAAGCACTGTTACGGTACAGAAAGCTAAAGATAAAGCAATAATACCTTTTATCAAAGGCGTAGAATGTCTTACTGCTGTACTTGATACATTTTTATAATTGCACATTTGACATCGCTTATGGCAAGGCTGATTGAAGAATGTGCATTGATGACAAGACCACTCTGTAGAAAAAACGGGTGAAATATAAATAAAATATATTCTTAATTTTCATAACAGATTGTAAGTTCTGACGTACTGTTTACTCGGATAAACCCCAAAATCTGATGGCTGGCAAATAAATAAAAAATGTTCTACCTGTATGTAGACTACTAGCAGTTACTTTTTCAAGCCAAATATCAAACATTTCAGTCCCATTTAAGACGTTTACATTCTATTATTTAAAATGTTATCAATTGTCTATGTTCCGTGGGCATACAGGGTCGAAAGGGATAACAAAAAAAGTTAGTTGTGTTTTGCACTGTCTGAAGACTTGATAATACATTTAATGAATGCATTTCGAGCAGATGTGACTGTGTTTAAAACAGGGACCCTTCCCCAATACAGGACTGGAGAAGTTTATGTGACTATTGCTTGTGTAAACAGTATGCGTTGGTTGCCCTTTTCCATAAAACTTCACAGCGTAGACCTTTTTTTGTTCTTTGATTAGTTTTAAATATTTCTAACTTACTCACTGTTTCTTAATTATGCCATGACCCCACCAATGCATAACATTTTAAATTCATGTAATGTCTACCATGTATATAGTAATATTTGTTTTATTTGTCTTTATGAAATGTTTAAACGGAAGAGGTAAATCACAGAAGCATATTTTGGTTTCCTTAGTTTAATCAGTAGTGGATCAAGGAACTATTAAAAAGGTGGTGTGGTTACATGTTAATTAGTGGAGGAGGAAGGAGCCAAACCTTTCTTTTATACTAGATATTAATATTTAAGATATGAGTAAGGAGATAATGAGTTAAAAATCAGCGGGTCAGCAACATAACATAAATGACTGACATACATAGACATCTATTGACTATTTGCGATATTGAAAATTCGAAGTCTATCGGAAATATCGTTTGATATGCTTGAAATCAGAAATTGAATTAAGTGCCTGCTAAATTTCAAGGGCGTTGGAGCAAGGGGCAGATTGAATATTACTTCAAGACTATTTGACTATAGAAAAGTTTTTTGCTTTCCACTTTTAGAGTCAATCCCCCCCCCCCCCCCCCAATACACAAATACATTTTCAGTCTAATCCATATAATGAAGCAGAAAACAGTTACCCACTACAGCGATCCCTAACACTTATTATATAGAAAATGCCCCCTCCCCAGAGTATAGACCTAGCATGTTATGACTCGAAAACCTAAAACTGTTTTTGGTGTTTAGCAAAGTGGGCTTTCTTTCTGGCAATATACAAAAGAAATATTGCCCAATGTCAGCAAATGAAAGCATTAAGAAATGCATCTAGTTTGACCATCCAAATGCATCGTTGTCATTCTTAAATTGTCTGCATGATAGTAACCATTTCCGAATGTGAGCGTTTAAATAGTGAGATCATGTACCTGGAAATGGATTAGCACTGATGAACGTGTATTAAATATTTACACTTATACCTTGATATAATAGTTTTCACTTTTCGGGCAACATAATAATGTGATATGATCAGAGTATAAACCCTGCTTTGCACTGAACCGACACACTAAGTCTGATTCTTAACGTGCTTTTCAACAAGGAAACAGTCCACAGGTAGACATGTCAGCCTTCGTGGACAAATAATTCTGACTCCGAGTCGACCAGTCTATGCTCTTACTCCTAAATCCCGCGTGTCTAGCGGTGAAGCAGCAAATACGTATTTCCAAGTCTTTGGTTTTACCCGGCCCGGGTTCGAACCCACAACTTTCCGCACTCGAGGGTAGCACGCTACAAAAAGACCACGAGGCGGTCAAAGAAAAATAAAATTAGAATCAAATTTGTAAACCTTGTGTTACCATTTGTTTTGTTACTAACTATAATGACCTTAATATCAACTAAAAACATTGAAATATTTTGAAAGTTTGTTTTGTTGACACCCCCTAAAAATTTATGGATCTGTCCCTGTTGATCCTTACCAGCATTTGACAAAAACAAAATAAGGAAAGGGATAGTATTTTACTTCTGTTTTCTTAACGTTTACTTGAAATTATTTTATTTATCTTATCAAACATTTCTTCTATAAAATGATAAGCAAGCTGTGTATTGGGCTCTGTGTATTGTGTATATCATACGCTAACAAATAGATATGTTTTTCAAATTATGTACAATCATGAGATGAGAGTATATATTGTTTCCGTAGTGTTATGTTGATAAACTAAGAGTAATCTCAGTGATAAATATCATTGAAACTAGTTGTGATATAATACAACTCTTGGAAACTGCATTTAGATTTAAAAACATATAGGCTTATAATTCAAATTCAAATTCAAATAAGTTTGTGACAAATACAAAATGTAAACTGAAATTCACATATATATACATAATAATTCAATTACAGTAAATAGTCCAGAGTCCCATGTCCTCAGTTCGAATGACTTTTTAATGTAGGACCCCAATTTATTTACTTGTGGTGGTGTTGATGGATTGAGCATAACAATCACCTTTTCTTCATCAAACAAATCGTGAACAGAAAAGTTTATTTCCAAATTATTAAAAAAAGTTGTTTCTCATCTTCCTATTTAATTCACAATCTATTAAAACATGTTTTTCATCTTCTAACATCTTACATTTAAGGCATAATCTCTGCTATCTAAGAATATTACAATGTCTGTCTATATATAAATTATTGTCACGAATTCTTAGTTATGTTATTAATTTTCTATGTTTCAAGTTTGGTATTCTTAAATAGTCTTCAAAAATAAAATTTTATTTAAGGTTCTTATATAAATAAAGTTCACTTTTTTTCATCCTTTTTTTTTTGGCATCTTAAAAATGAATCAAATTTTCAAAGTAGTTTTTATAACTTGTTTTTATATAACTATTCAATGAATTATTTATTTTTAAGTCTGAACTAGTCATGATCTTGTAGGATTTGTTTATATATTAATTAAGTTCACATAGGAATATTTTTACATAGGTAAACATCACAATGATTACTTAAAAATACGGACGCACAACTGGGACTATATTATGTCCCAGTGCACACATAATAATGTCTTTGAAACAATTATACTATAAGAAGTTCATATATTAATCCCCTCTTAACCATAATAGTTTAGCGTTACCAGTTATGTTCTTGATCGATCGATGATGTAACAAAACTAGTGATAGTATTCAACAGGTAGATAACTCTGTATAATTACGTCCGTCATATTGTTATTTACACGGAACATGCATAAAAAAAATGCATGCGCGTGCATTATGGGTACTTAGATGACCCATGTATGTAGGTACCAGTTCGTTATCGTGATATTCATGATTTTTTTATTGATATATATTTCTCAAAACAAAACATGTTGATTACAAATAAATGTTCTTAAAAAATATTTTCATGAAATTTCATTGATAATATTAATATATATGAAGCGATAAAGAATTCCATTTTGCACTCGATAATGTCAGCGTATTTACATGTATACGCAGTAATGCGTGTTTAAAAGCACACTCAGAAACTGCCATTATAGCATTACTTCGGATTCCCTCACGGTAATCCGAGTAAAAAGACTTTTATCAATTCATTATTGTCGAATGAAAAAATGTATACTTAAACATAGCATATCTTAGTTAATACATTAAACTAATCACAATGCCTCGCCAACTTGCCTGTCGGTTCCCTATCCATGGCCACACAGTCCCCTTTAGTTGGACCTTTACTATCCACCTTTTGAGTTTTACATACTTGACAATATATAGACTCGTCTTGATTGAGCAAACTACACACTTGACATATCCACATTGTCGTTTAATCTGTAACAAATGAACATATATTATGTGTTTACTGAATACACAATATTCAAATATCTTTTATTAAGCTTTTATGTAATTATCAATTTCAATTTTGCATTATATATGTCAAAATTTCATTCCAAGTCCATAACTTAAATATAAAAATAAGAAGATGTGGTATGATTGCCAATGAGACAACTATTTATCAGAGACCAAATTACATAAAAGTTAACAACTATAGGTCACCGTCCGGCCTTCAACAATGATAAAAAACAATACCGCATAGTCAGCTATAAAAGGGCCGAAATGACAAATGTAAAACAATGCAAACGAGAAAAACTCTTGCTGTATATCACGAAAAATAAATATGATATTAGTATACAGCAACAAACTACAACCACTGATATAAAGGCTCCTGGCTTGGGATAGGCACATACAGAATGTGGCGGGGTTAAACAAGTTTGTGGGCGCCCAGACGTCCCCCTAACCTGGGACATTGGTGTAACAGCACACCACATGAACAAACTATAAAAATCAGTTTAAAAGGGCTCAACTCATCAGATCGATACAAAGCAGAAAAAAGTAACAAAAACACAGTTCTCTTCTGAAAGTGTTGCTGTATCTGGACAATTTGAGATAATGACATCATTCTCGTTTTATTTAAACTAATTGCTCTTTGTATAACTAGAGAACAATTAAATAAATATTAATTTCTTCTATGTTAATTAGACATAGTTGCTCATCTCGATAACATACGTTTACTGCAAATGAGGAGATCAGTGGTAAAATTACACTAACATCGTGTCGAAGGAAGAAGCTTAAGGGTTTTGTGTATTAGATGTAGTTTCTTATATCTGAGGGGCATCATCCCCGAAGATATGAGACGACTGCATCTCATTTACTAAGTAATAAATAATTATTTTATCTTTTCTCTTTCTTAAAGTTAGCTTTGATAAAAAAAGGAATAGTGCATTATCTCAAATTTTCCAGATGCAGTAACACTTTCAAAAGATGTTTGTTTCGTACTTCTGCATTTGGAAAGAAATCTGCATTGCGTCTTTTTTTCTGTCATCAAATTGAAACTTTATCACTGCTTTTGTATGGCAATATAATTCCCTGCACTATCTTGTCTTTTTCTAGTTTTATTGCCAAAACCTTCTAACAATTCTATAGAAGATAAAAAGTATATTTGGCTTTCCAAACTTTTGACCTCGAGCGCAACTAATGAAAATTATTCCGAAAGCATGAGCCGTGTG